TGCGGAGGGAGAAATGTTAATGTTATGTCTCTAGCTGAATTTAAGGCCACAGTAAACGATACATTATTTAAGTAACTAGGTGTAAGTCATTGTTTCATATACCTTCATAATATTATTTTGTTCTATTCTAAGTTTTTGTATTTTTTTGTATTTTTTTTTGTTTTTTTACTTGGTAACTTTTTAGTATCTTGAAGGATGTGGTGTATACCTTTAATTGATTGTACATTAGTATATAAGTGATGTGTGTTTACTATTTCTGCATTGTTGTAACAATCGTTGATGTACTTAAATAAATAAATAAATAAATGCTCTCTAGTGGGTGATCATGTAAAGAATCAACGCCATTTTCGGGAGGTAGCTTGTAATTAATAATTTTAAAACCTCAGTGGCGTATCTACTCCCGATTATACTGGCTTATCTATGGTGAGGTTCAAGTGTCTTACAATTAAGAATCTTTGCTACTACTTACTATAATATAACTCTTATCACGGCAATTTATGTACATTGAACTTTTTTTTTTGAATTTGAATTGGATTATGCTTGTTGCAAAGATAATTCAGATGAGGAATGATGTGCATAACATCCAACTTTTAAATGTAGTTCGGTTAACGCCTTACAGTTACAATGAAATTATTAATTGTTCGGCAAACAAACCCGAATGGGTTAATTAACTTATCGATAGCTAAAGTTGTGGCATACATCACCACATTGCAGTACTTTCGGTTGCAGTGATACCAGGTAATTTTACAAAAAAATGCATACATTTGCTATGAAGTGGCAAGTTTCAAATTTGACTTATTTAGCCTTTATTTTGATAAATATATATAAGAAAGGTAAATGTAAAAAAAATATTGTAAAAATTATATTAAAAGTATATTTATTAAGCGGAAGCCAAAGTTTTTTATTTGTTTAAACACGCTATCTCTGTTACGCTATATCCTATTATATATATATATATATATATATATATATATATATATATATATATATATATATATATATATATATATATATATATATATATATTATATATAGATTATGTGCTGATTCCGCCGTAAATATTGATTTTTGTTAACCCGTCAAGCGCATGAACGTCTTACGTGATAAAGGTTCGGGCCTGTACGATACTGGGAAGGTCGTCCGATACTGGCAGGCGTTAATGTTATAAATTGTATATTTTTAGTTTTGTATGCCAGCTATATATAAAACTTAAAAATTCGTTCGTTTACTTAATCGAATTGTTATAAATTAAGATATTTAATTGTATATGAATTAGTGTAATTATACTTTTATTATCCATCTATACTAATATAATATAACGAGGGAGTTTTTTGTTTTTTCTTTGTTTAAACATTCTAATCTCTAGAACAGCTTATTTTTTCATTTCGTACGAGGCGAACGTGTGTTCGAATATTTAAAATATTTTATTTACGCAAACATCGCAACAAAACCAAGTAAAACAGTGCAGTTTGTAATCAGTATCCGTTTAAATTATTTAGTGTTTTTAATAATCACAACCTCAGATGAAGTTTTTTTTACTTCATTTGAGGTCACAACCAAGTGTGTTGAGAGTTCGCGGACGCGACAAGCAAGCGGGTTTCCCGCGATCCTCACCGCTACGATAAGAGAGGACTTGCATGATTGCCGTTTCTATCTAATTGTTACATAAAGCGCACCGTCATAATAAAAGATTGTTCAGCGCGTACCCACGAAGTCGGAAAAGAAGATAATTTGCAACGCGCAAAATGTAGCGAAATATTTAACTTTTTATGCCTTAACATAAAAAAAGTAAATGTAAAGTTACAGCATATATACGTCCCACTGCTGGGCACAGGCCTCCCCTCATTTCTGAAAATGTTTATGCCTTAACATACGCTCGGAGAATTTTGCAGACTTACTTCCAGACGCATTATCAAACTGGACTTGCCCTTTGTGTATGATTAGCAAACGAAGGGTAATAACTCGGAATCTGTAGCTCTCAACACTTACATCGTTTGCTGAGATTTCGTTTCATAACGTGTCCCGATCCAAGGTGCCTGCAAAACTAGATACTAATATCATTGTAGATAATCTTTGAGTATTAAAATACTCAAAGTAGATATTAAAAGTATATAAGATAAGTTTATGTGCGCCGTTCGGAGCCGCGAGAATTACTTCGTGAGGAACAAACTCGTGCATCACGGAATTAACAGTTGGCATTAAAGCAATTAATGGGCAAATAGGTAATCTTAAATGTCCTGTTGAATCGATAAGTGATAAGTTTGGAAGGATTTCAGGCGAATTTAAAGTTCAACAACAAGAAATGTTGGCATTAAAAAAGAAAACGATTTTTTGTATTGTGAGTTAACACCGTCAAAAATAAATTGAACCAAATCGATCAACCTCTTTGTTTTATTTAAATTTTCAGTCTATGTGATGTTCCTAAAAATCAATAATAATATCCAAAGATTTAGATAATTGGCAGCTTACATGCAGTTTATCTTAATATACTGCGAATGATCAGCATAATAACCATTTTATATTGTCATAATATTACAATCATTAATAAAACCAAAATTATATTGAAACTAATATTTTTACCTGGTTACTTAATAATAGAACAACTCTTTATACAACACTTAAATACAGAAAGTAATAAATGTATAATACTGGCTATCTATTGTGGTGGACTTTATAATTACAATGTAATATTAATGTCAATCGTAGTTTCCTATATTATATATATCTACAAAAGTTAAGCAGGATATAAGACTATCTGTGTACTATCAGAATGTGCGAGGACTTAGAAAAAAGTGTAGATATTTACAATCAAATTGCAAGCAACAGCTATGATATTCTATTATTTACAGGCGTTTTAATATTTTAACGAACATTCTCCTATAATATCCATACACATAAACAAAGTTTTTATAAAAGGTGATAAACGGGCACATAGTCCACCAGGTAAATAGAAATGATGATAAATGGATGCTGTGGCCCATAGACACCTACATCTATCATTAATCAAGAATCAAAATGCAGATATGTTGCCACGCCTAAGAACTAGGATAGATTTTTTGTTATAGAATGAGGTTAACAAGCGAGCACACAGTCTACCTGATGGAAAGTGGATGCTGTGTTCCATAGAAATCTGCAGTTATCCACTAGCTATTCTTTGAAATATAATTGAGCACAAATTATATTTTCAAAGAACTATTTGCCTTAGGGCCTTTCAAATTGATTGTATTTTTTGTTTCTAAAATTTATCAGTAAATTCAGATATTTTGAGCTTTGAAATTTACGCTAAAAGGGAAATTTAGAAAACCTCTGTTTAGTTTGTTTGATAGAATCAACAAATACTGTATTATGATTTCTTATATTTACGCGAACACTACACATTGATTAAAACTAATTTTACGGATTTTATCGCGTTTATTTTACTTTTAATTACTTTTATTTTTAATTCCCGACGTTTCGGGCGCCTTCCAGCACCCATGGTCACGGGGGGACTGACATGACTGACGTCCCGATGTCATTGTTAAACCCGGAGTACCTTCAGCTTTTTTAATTATTGTTTATGGTCCGATCTATACAAAATGAACTGACTATGTCCTGAGGTCTTGCAGTGGTGTGCTTCGGTTTAGTTTTAATTTTATTGATTATAGGATCCCAAGTAGGTGGTAGTGCCCAGCCTCCTTCTCTATCGAAATTAGGATGTTTTTAATTTCAATAGCCTCACGTATCATCCTTGGTAGGAATCGGTGTTTTTTCGCGAGGATTTGTGGTCTATCAAATCTGATGTAATGGTTGGGGCCGTCTAGGATATGATCACAAACTGCAGACTTCCCGGAACGTTATCTCTGTTCCCAAGCAGGTGGTAGTGCCCAGCCTCCTTCTCTATCGAAATTAGGATGTTTTTAATTTCAATAGCCTCACGTATCATCCTTGGTAGGAATCGGTGTTTTTTCGCGAGGATTTGTGGTCTATGAAATCTGATGTAATGGTTGGGGCCGTCTAGGATATGATCACAAACTGCAGACTTCCCGGAACGTTGATGCTTCACATCAGCTATATGTTCTTTTACGCGGGTTCTAATTGATCTTTTTGTTTGTCCTATATAAGAGAGACCACATTCACAATCAAGCTTGTACACTCCTGCATCTTGTAGAGGAATATGACACTTGACGGATGGTAGGAACTGACTAATCTTCTTCGGCGGCTTGTAGAATGTTCTAATAGAAGCTCACTTTAAGATGTAGCCAATCTTGTCTGTGACACCTCTGACATATGGTAGTACAGCAGGCACACGCTCGACTGTGGCCGGCTTCACTCGGTCACTGTGACGTAGGCATCAACGTTCCGGAAAGTCTGCAGTTTGTGATCATATCCTAGACGGCCCCAACCATTACATCAGATTTGGTAAACCACAAATCCTCGCGAAAGAACACCGATTCCTACCAAGGATGATACGTGAGGCTATTGAAATTAAAAAAACATCCTAATTTGAATAGAGAAGGAGGCTGGGTACTACCACCTGCTTGGGATCCTATAATCGATAAAATTAAAACTAAACCCAAGCATACCACTGCAGGACCTCAGGGCATAGTCAGTTCATTTTGTATAGATCGGACCATAAACCATAATTAAAAAAGCTGAAGGTACTCTGGGTTTAACAATGACATCGGGACGTCAGTCATCTCAGTCCCCCGTGACCATGGGTGCTGGAAAGCACCCGAAATGTCGGGAATTAAAAATAAAAGTAATTAAAAGTAAAATAAACGCGATAAAATCCGTAAAAGTAGTTTTAATCAAATACTGTATTTATCCAAAAAAATCACTATTAATTATTTAGACCATAAAATTTCCTAAAGTTATGAGTTATTAACATTTTGTAAGATAAGACGTTGATGGTCATTAACAGGTTTGAAAAGTAATGTTTTGAGTTAATCGACGCTTGGAACGTGCATGCGTTTTTAATAGATTTCAATAAATTGGGCGTATTACGTATACAGAACCTTAAAATGTCAGACGTGGAGCAGGTCTTGCGCAGCTTGTTGGATACTATCGCCACTGAACACGATTACAAAGATTATAAAACTAAACTGAAGTCGTTTTCCACGGGAGGGGCCAACTTCTTTTCCAAACTGTATCGAATCACGCTATCCGTACCAGGAAAGGATGACCTCAAACTGTTTGCAAAATCGGCTATTGCCAACAAAAAATTACGAACTCAAAGTCAATTCGAGATTTTCGAGACTGAAATGTTTTTCTACTCGGAATTGCTCAAGCAGTTTCAAGAAATGGAGAACCAACACAACGTCCCGACAGAACATAGGCTTACCACTGCAAAATTCTACGGTTGCGATAGGGAACATCTGAAAGAAATTATAGTACTGGAAGATTTATCGTCACAGGGCTTCGATACCCACGATAGATTGAAGAGTTTCGATTGGAATTACGCCTCTAAATCAGTCACAGAACTGTCCAAATTACATACACTCTATCTATCGCCTACGACAAAGAATACCCTGAGAAGTTTGATGCACTGTACACGAAGCTACGCAAAGATATGAATAACGTCAAGAACATTATGCAGAGCATGATAGGCATGGCTACGGCGGCTATCAAAGAAGAAAACAAAGCCAAAGTAGAAGCGTTCGTTCAGAAGGTACGAATTGATGATGGCAACAAATTTTTCATGCCATCACGTCAGCCTATCATTGCACATGGAGACTTTAGACCGAGTAATTTAATGCACAGAACACGAGAGGTAAATCCTGATATATATATATTTATTTATTTAAAACCTTGATTCCCTAAAACAATTACAAAAATTAAAATTTCAAAAAAATTTATTTACAAAACTAATCACGCTTCATAGAAAACCTTAGTAACTCAACAAATATTTAGATAACATAACATTAGCTAGAACTTATAATAAAATTTGTTAATTATGTACAATAAATCGAGTTAAATAATATCACAATAAATTAAGTATCGATTAAGCTACATTATTTAATTATTAAATATAAAATAATAATATGAGATTTCACAATTAACATTTAAAATCAATTAAAAATAATGGTTAATTATATGTTACGAAAGTCGATTTACAAAGTATTAATTGTGCAATATATACATATATATATATAGCGGTATATTTAAATTGAATGAAGGCCTCCTCCATTTTTGTCCATTCTGTGCGCGTCTCATCCAGGTATGGCCAATTGCTGGCACAATGCCATCAAATCACCTGCGTCTGGGTCTACCGCGTGGACGTGGTACTTTGTGGGGGGGTACTGTTGGAGGCCTCTCTCACTCCAACGTCCATCTGTAGCTCTTGCAACGTGGCGTGCCCATCTCCATTTTAACTACATGATAATTCTGCAGTATCGATTGTTTGTGTTGTTTTTTATTTCTTTATTTTTTGTCTATCTCGTAACAAAAGACCTGACTTGTTCCTATTCATTGCACAAGGAAAGACCTGAAGTTAGTTTATTATTGCTTTTGTTAGTGCCCAGCTTGGACAGCCATAGAATAGTGTTAGTAGAATTATAGTATACACTGCTTTCTTTTTCTGGCGCGTCGGTATTATGTGACTAAAATATTTTTAGTGGCCAGTATTTTTTACAAGCACTTTTTATTGAGCTGTTGACATTCACTTACAATTTGGTTTGAAAAACAAATGTTCCGCCCAAGATAGAAATAGTTTTATACATACTCTATCAATGTATTTCATAGAGTATGTAGTTTGTAATGATTGCATCTTCGTAAGCACTGTAACGCTGTTAGGAAGCACATTTTTCAACATTCATATGGTCCGCACTTTCGACTCTCTGTATATAGAAATATCAGCATGTGTTCTAGTTTAACATGATTTTCACTTATAAGGATACAGTGGCAAAGCTAGGGCTCCAAACTAGGGCAAGCCCAAGATATGGTTTTGTTGTTTTTAGCAGTTTCACACTAACCTTGATCTGCCTCCACTCTTCAGTTTCATATTCAGTGCTGTCAAGGACGTGTTTAACAAAGCACACAGAAGGCATACTACCGCTAGATAGATTGTATGAAATATGCAATTGCGTACCTTCGGTGGCTTTGAAAAGAGCCGTTTGGGTTTTCTTGAGCGAAAGAAAAAGATATTTACATACAATACAATACATGAACCGAAGAAAACATGAACAAAGTACAAACAAACTATGTACAAAACTAAAAAAAGAGACGCCTGGCAGATGTGAAACATTGTAATAAGTTATATGCTTACAAGAACAGATTACGACAGAAATTAGATATCGTATAGTGAAAAGATAAAGCTTTGCAAATTTTTTTACCATAAAATAATGACTATACATTATATAATTATTCATGTTCATACTTAATAAACCATACAAAATGATATTTTTAAGTAATATGGTAATATAAGTATTGAGTTAGACCTTTAAATATGCCTAGTTTAATTAAACTTTAATACTAAACAGTGCTGTACCTATTAAAGTATGAAGAAATGTTTATTGAATTAAAATTTCATTTTTAAAGATTTTACCTTTCCCTCGCCGATTAGCACTTTAACACACTTTTATTCATCACAAGGAACACTATTATCCTCCTATTTTCACTAAAAATCTTTGAAAAAGCATAAATTTTCAACAAACACAACAAAAACAAACATAAACATTGAAATGTGAAGTGAACTTGAAAACATATTGCCCGCACCCCCACTTGCTAACGCACTCCTAAACAACTTCAGGGCAAAGCCCAGCTTTTGGTTCCATAGTCATTGATATATAAACATTTCGTAGTTATATTTCATTAGAGAACATTTTGCCACAGGTTGGAACGGGAGCGATCGTCTTCTCGAAAGCCCAGTAAAAAGGCAACGCGTGCGAGAGAGACGACAAAATCAACTCCTTGCTTTCATTAATTTTGACAGTCCAGTGTATTTCGAATTGAAAGCAAACTGCCAAGTGTTGTCGCGGGGAATTTGAAATAGTTTGAAACAGTTTACGAGTTATTTTATTAGTTGATATTATTGATTGATCGAAAAGGCAAGCCTGGCTTTTCGACTTCTATGGAGGCTTTGCCACTGTAAGGTTAGCATCATCAGCGAATCGTACGTGGTGAGTATTTAACTCGCCTATTATTCTTATGCTAACATGAATGCCAATGAGTTGCCTAAAAACATGGATTGCTTTAAATAAATACGTTGGGACAGGATTCCCTTGTCTCACTTCTTTCTGAGTATTAAATGGTGTTTCTTTTCTCTCTAATTTAACCACAGCCTTGCTCTGTTTGTATATTTCTTTCAGAATTTTGATATATTTAATATGTACTCTTTGTCAGTCATAGGAATGCATAATATGTAGAGTCGAATGCATTTGAGTAGCTTAAAATAATGATTTCTTAAATTTACGCGAAAACTACACATTGAATAAAACTAAATTTACGGATTTTATCGCGTTTATTTCACTACATTTACTTATTTTTAATTCCCGACGTTTCGGGTGCTTTACAGCAACCATGGTCACGGGGGGGGGGGGACTGCTCAAAATAATTTAGAATTTTTTAATTGTATCCACTATATTTTTCAATAATTAGTGTGGCTGTGAATATGTGGTCGTTTGTAGAAAAGCCCGCTCTAAACACTGCTTGTTCTTTGGCTGACTTTCTTCTAAAGTAAAAGATTCTTTTTAGTAGCAAGCTGGTTAAAAATTTATATACTATCTGAAGTACACTTATTGACCTATAATTGCTGATATATGATGAATCTCTCTGTTTGTAGAGAAAAGTAATTATAGTAGTTTGCCAAGCAGACGGTATCAGTTTTTTTGTTGTTGCAAGGATTTGATCAAATAGAATTGTTAAGATAGGTGTAAGGGGCTCTTTGATCGGTTTTAGTGTGGCATTAGTAATTCTGTCTTTTCCGGGACTTTTTTGTGTTTTTAGTTATTATATGGTATAGTTTATTTCACATTCTGAAACTTGCAGAAAGTTTTTATAGTCTGGTAGGTCTAAATTCTCGATTATTTTTCACAAGATTCATGCAATGATGATACAATATAATTCTATATATCTATATTATATATAAGTTTCTAATAGTAATTTGAGAACTATTTTTTGTTAATTTTTGTGTGAGTATAATCTTATGTATAAAGCTGGCTTTCCACTATGAGATATGATATATATTATATCCCGAAGTATAAATTATATCCCGCGATTGCCCTTCACAATGTGAAGCCCACTTTCCACTATGGGATATAATATAATTTATATTACATCTCGAGATATAAATTAATATAGCTCACCGTACTTTTAAATAGAACCGTTTCCACTGAGATATAATATATATTACATCCCAAACTATAAATATTTTTTCGATTGACCGAGTGATATTTTCATATTATATTTCAGCTCCTGTACCCCGCACACCCTTCCGCGCCTCCGCTACGTCCTCAGATGGTCCAATGACGAACGCACACTGGTTAAAAGAAATATCTCAGAGTGTGAAGGGCAATCGCGGGATATAATATATATTATATCCCACAGTGGAAAACCAGCTTTAGATATATCTTTTAATTTTAACCAGTGTGCGTTCGTCATTGTACGATCTGAGGACGTAGTGGAGGCACGGAAGGGTGTGCGGGGTACAGGAGGTGAAATATAATATGAAAATATCGCTCGGTCGATTGAAAAAATATTTATAGCTTGGGATGTAATATATATATATATATATATATATATATATATATATATATATTATATATATATATATATATATATATATATATATATATTTTATAGAATAGGCTGACAAACGAGCACACAGTCCACCTGATGGTAAGTGGTTGCTGCGGCCCATAGACATCTACATCTATCTTCCATTACAAATCAAAATGCAGATGCGTTGTCACCCGTGAGGACTGAAAGAGAATGCCTCATTTTCAGTAAAAAGGGTCTCCGGTTCTCTACACTCACCATACGAAATACAGCAGCATGAAGCTACTATTTCACGCTGGTATTCTGTGAGAGCGTGGTCCTTCCCCGGTCGAGCCGACCCATTCGTGCTACAACTATACTACTAATATAACTGCAGCATGGCTCTACCACGTAGAAATATAAATATATATATATATATATATATATATATATATATATATATATATATATATATATATATATTTTATAATCGGAATCTCAGAAACGGCTCCAACGATTTTCATAAAATTTAGTGTCCATGGAGTTTGGGGGGAAATAAATCGATCTAGCTAGGATTTATTTTTAGAAAATGTCTTTTTTGGCCGTGTTTTCAGGCAATGAAAAACTGCTACAATATAAGAAGGTAAATTTTGACACTTTACTAATGATCGTAATAGCTCAAGTGGATATCGTGCGGTCGTCCAATCGTAATGCCTTCGTTCGCGACCCGTCTTGGGTCCGACTTTTTTTTCCTTTTTTTTCAAGTTCCCTTCTTTTGTGAGAAAATCTATTATTTCGATCCCTTTTTTTAGTATTTTTTAAAAATATGAACATTTTAATTAAACTAATTGCACTCATGATTTTTTATTCAAATAACTAGTTCAGTTTTTTCTATTATGTCAATAAGATCAAAAAATATTATTCATGTAATTTGTACCTAAATGTAATTAAAAAAACCGAGCAAAGTTCGGTCATCCGGGTACTAGATAATATTATATCCCATAGTGGAAAGTGGGATTAAGTCTAAAGCTGGCTTTTCACTATATACGAGTACTAAAGGTCTGGGAGTCGTTGTGCTAACATCGCAGTACAGTTCATTACGACTACCAAGTATCTTTATCCTTTCAATTCATAAGGACATTTCCTTAGCAAATCTGAAAATTGGATGTAAGCTCTTTTAACGATCTAAATATTTCTATATATTTTTTTTCTTTTGTTAGTGTTTGAATTGGTAGAGTACTTTTACATCTCTTTAAAAGATTATTGTTGCAGCCTTTGATTTTCGTCACCAAATTAGTATGAATATATATATATATATATATATATATATATATATATCCCCAGTACCCCCCCCCCCCCCACAAAGTACCACGTCCACGCGGTAGACCCAGACGCAGGTGATTTGATGGCATTGTGCCAGCAATTGGCCATACCTGGATGAGACTCGCACAGAATGGACAAAAATGGAGGAGGCCTTCATTCAATTTAAATATTTAGATATATTGCATAATTAATACTTTGTAAATCGACTTTCGTAACATATAATTAACCATTATTTTTAATTGATTTTAAATGTTAATTGTGAAATCTCATATTATTATTTTATATTTAATAATTAAATATTGTAGCTTAATCGATACTTAATTTATTGTGATATTATTTAACTCGTTATATAATACGTTATAATATAATACGTTTGTACAATGTTTGAAAATTGTACTTGTTTTACGTTATCATAATACAAGAGTGTATGTACACACTCGATTGTGAACGTGGAACTTCTACAACGTCACACTTGATATAAATCGTCGCACTCCTACCAAGTCCTCTGACTCCTATCGAGGATGATTTGTGAGTCTATTGGAACCAAAAAACATTCTAGTTTCAATAGGTATAGAAGAAACCTGTAAAATATGTATAAAAAATAAAAAATATACCTAATTTAAGCATACCACTCCACAACTTCAATATCTTGAAGTTGTAGAGTGGTAAATCCCAGAAGGAACTTATGATATCCCATAAGTTCCTTCTGGGTAGATCGGACCAAGAATTAAATTTTTTTTGCTGGAAGTAGCCGGAGTTTACTATGACATTGAATGCTAAATACCTTAGTACTGTTGGTTTGGATGATGCAAAGTAATCAAAACATCGAAAATATAAAATAAATTAAAGAAGCGCGATAAAATCCGTACCAAAATAATATCATCCAACTCGTTTTATGTTTTCCAGGACGGGCAGTTACAAGTGGTGATTCTAGACTACCAGATGCTTCAAATTTCGAACCCTATCGTTGACCTGATGTTCTTTATCCTCAGCGGATCTGACGAAGAGTTTCGTGCTAAGCACTACCGCCAACTTCTCGAGCATTACTATATGGAACTTTGCAACGCTCTTACCAGGCTAGATGTTGACGCTAAGGAGGTATACCCAAAGGAGGATTTTGAATACGATTTGGAAAAGGTATTTTTTAATAGGATAAGGGTGACATACGAGCACACAGTCCACTTGATGGTAAGTGGATGCTGTGGCCCATAGACATCTACATTTACCCTCGATTAAGAATGAAAACGCAGATGCGATGTCACCACTGAGGACTAAGATGAAATGCCTCGTTTCTAGTAAAGAAGGGTCTCCGGCACTCTAGACTCACCATACTAATCACAGCAGTATTTAGCTGCTATTTTATCAATATAAGTACAAGTGTTAACAACTTGTATATAACTGACAACTATAGTGATCTAATGTAAATAATTAGAGTATTTAAAACATCTAGGAGGTAAAACCCCTTCTCTATCAACCAAATCGAAGTGCCTGCAGTGGTCTATTCCAGTCTGAAGGACATAGAGAGCCACTATGATAACAGGCTGTTAAACCGGTCTTTGTCCTCGGAGGTGACAATGCATTTTTTTCTAGTAAATTGTAAAAGTTCATGGGCTACAGTAGCCACATACCATCAGGTGCACTGCATGTTCATTAGTTACATGTGTTTTATAAAAGAATATATATGTATAAATAAGTAATTTTTGTATTTCAGATCCAACCATACGGTCTGTTTATCAGCTTACTGATGCTGCCGGTGGTGACCGTTGAAGCTGAGAACGCGCCACTAATGGACGGCGATATCAGGAATTTAATGATTAAACCGAACGAACTCGCAGCAACTAGATTGAATGGAGCCGTCAATGACTTTGTTAGGCTAGGTGTATTGTGATAATTACATTAATTTAACTCTGCAATAGTATAGGATCACACATAAAGTTTATAGAACAAATTGGAAAAAAAGTGAACGTTTGTGCAAAATGTAAAGTACTATCTGTCAAAACACGAGCAACATCTATATTTTAAAACCCTAATATGACAATTTTGAATTGGAATATACTATGCTTTTTTATAAAATAAGGGTGTTCTCTACACTCACTATACGAAACACAGCAGCATTAAGCTGCTATTTTACGTTGGTACGTGGTCCTTCCGCGGTCGAGCGACCCATTAGTGACACACCTATACTACTAGGTACTATATTAGCACAGTCTATAAATCCATATGTTTTATTATACTGTGATATTAGTATATGCATCTATATGCAGAATGAATCTGCATTCTGATTCGTATTTGAGGACAGATGTAGATGTCTATTGGCAACAGCAACCACTTAACATCAGATGGACTGTGTGCTCGCTTGTCAACCTATCCTACAAAAATACAAATAAGTAGATTATTTTCCTAATTTTATGATGTTTTGTCAAAGTTGTTGCTCATTGTTATATTATCTCATAGAGAATATAACCACTAGAGAGCGTATAGGCAGATTTCTTCTAAACACACGACTCACTACTGCGGGCCGGGGGACAAGGAAGAACGCGTGTCTGCGAATGGTCAAGTTGCTTTGTTATGGCTATCTTTAGGGTTGCTCTTTTTAATAAAGGAAAATATTCGTTATCGATAAAATGGATTTTATCATTATGAAAAATACTCAATTAAAATCATAGAAATAATATTTAATCAAAATCAATCAGTTACAACGAAAATATGTATTTATTTTATTATTATTGATTTTTGAAATGAATTAATTTGTTATATTTATTTCGAAATAAAGTTTAAGGGTCCTGATTGTTCTTTGTAAAAAAATATAAACAAGCGTCTACATATTTGTAAATTATGCATCTAGCTAATTCAATTAAATGATTTGTTGATTCTATTTCAAATTGATGAAAATGAATATACGGGAATCAATAATACCTAATCAGAGATTTTAAAACCGTTCTCATAAAATAATTAGTATTATATTTTGGAGACAGCACTTTTGAACCACTCTCATTGATCGCCCTCTTATTGAAAATTTTACAACGACGACAAATATCTATTATTGTAGTAGATCCGTACAATAACTTGTCTTTAGTGTCCTTTTGCAATTGTAAGCCGTTCTGATTTGGTACACCAATCTAACTAATTTAACAATACAATACAATACAATACTCTTTATTGTACACCAACAAAACATAAATATAACAAATAATGAACAAACAATGAGGGAAAAACAAAAGGCGGTCTTATTTCTCCATAGCAATCTCTTCCAGACAACCCAGAAGAGGAAATTAATAAAAATAAAAATAAGATTAACGGGTAGGGTGCACTAAATTAGACAAAAAATACAACTTATATACTATAAAGTGACAACATACTTAAGGTATATTAGTGACCATAACTAAGAGGAGGAAGAGAGAGGAGTTAAAGAGACAAATAGTGTTCCTTAATTTGTTCCTTGAACATATTTAAAGATTGAGCACTTTTAATGGACTGGGGTAAGGAGTTCCAGAGTCTTACTCCAATAAAAGCAAAAGATTTATCATAAAATGTCGAGGAGTGTACGGTAATATATTAACAGTAATTTAACTAGGTAACTATAAACTTTAACTAGGAAAAAATACCGACAAACTGATAACCTTCTCTTTTTTCTGAAGACGGTTAAAAGTAGATAAGTATTTTTTCACAGTGAGTGAATTGAATAATCTTTTTATTAATTTTAATTTTATTATTTTCGATATCGACTTTCAGCTATTAAAGGTAACAGAAGTACTAATATTTACGATAAACGTACAAAGGGAAAGAAAGAGATAGAATCATTAGAATTTTCTAATAATAGAACGAGACTTTTCCAAAAGACATCAACGCGCGACTCAACCATGTCGTTATTTACCCGGCCACCGTTTTAGGTAGACCCCTGCGGTGGCTCATAATCTGAATTAATCAACAGTAATTTTCATATTTTAAAAAACTATATAAGTAAACTTAGCAATGAAAAGTTACTCCATTCTTTTTGGACATCTGTCCTGGAATGTGTCCTACACCACTTCACCGCGCATGAAGGCATTTTGATGCATTATAATTGCATAAAAGTTATAAAAATTTGCATTAATTTAGCGTACACACAGGTCTAACACTTGGACAATACTAAAATGGTTAATAGTACCATAGCCGATGCATAGGCGACAAAATACTAATAGTTTTCGAGCGTCGGGGCAATGTATGCGCAGTCAAGTGGTTATATAGTCTTTGGGCAGTACGGATAATTAAAACTGTGCTTTAATATTAGGTAAAAGAACTTTTATTCCTATACTTTAACCAATACAATTTTTTGCAAAACTCATGCGGAAATACACTTGATCTCTGTTTCTAACTTTTTAGTGTCCATTAAATCAACTTAGCCTCTAATGAAAGCCGACATTATTCATCATAACATGTTCACTTAGGGAACGTCCTCAGCTAAGGTAAGTCCTTTCTTTAAAAAAATATAGACACATCCAAAGATGTGATGAAATTACCCCGATGTTTTTATCATTATGATGAAAGATTCCATAGTTCTTCTCATATGGGAAAGGGCTGGAATCATTCCAATCCATAAAAAGTATTAAAAAGCAAAATTATTAACAACAGTCCAAACTAATCCTTAACTCCTTCGCTAAAATATTCCAAAAAGTGTTTTTATATACTCGAGATTCCTCGAGTTATTACGTGATATATAATATATATCACTTAGTAACTCGAGGAATCTCAAACGCACAGCACGTATGTTTGATCTACTATTTCTAATTTATAAAAGTATGTATATACATATATATTGTATACACAAATATGGAAAAAGGCAGTCAAGTGAACGTAGTTTACACAGATTTTGAAAAAGTTTTTGACCGTGTACCATCACATCCTTCTGATGAAACTGCAGTCTTCGAATTCACGAGGATTTACTCAGATGGGTTAAGTTTTATCTTAGTAATTGTTCTAAAGCAGTTATTCATGAAGGTTTAGGTCCGAATACATAAGCGTTCCTTCTGAAGTTCCTCAAGGCTCGCATCTCGGTCCTCTCTTTTGGAATGCTTATGTATATGTTATAGGTAAATGTATAAATAATTCACGTCATTTCCTATATGATTAATGAGTATGATTAATCACACTGATAGTATCTATACATATAATAAATCTGTAGGAAATTCGTGTCTGTAATTCTAATATTTTCTAAGTCTAGGGGACTAAATAAAGGTCACTGAAGGCAAATTAATGGCTTACAGAATTTTTGTCTGTTTGTCTGTCTATATTTCTGTCTGTCTGTCCATGTATTTACAATTCACGCAAAAACTACAAGACAGATTTCCATTTGATTTCACGAAATTTTGTGTATAAGTACACAATATTTTATAAAAATCTGTTAGGTAGTTTGGGAGCCGGGGCACCTTATAGGCTCCTTTTGCTACTACTTTTTTATCCGATTACGGAACTTTAAAAAGGAGAGTTTAGTATTTTTCTTCCTAAAAAAGTTAACTTCTATTTTATATGATTGATGTGTTTTTAACATCCCAGTGGGAAGTTATTATAATGGGTCCGATTTTGCAAATTGGAAATTTTAACATATCTCCACGTTTCATAGTCTTTAGAGTCAGATAATATGGTTTTTAGGAGGATGTCCATGTGTGCACATGTACGTACGTATGTATATATGTATGTATGTTCGGATTTAACTTCACCTCGTGTATCTCGAGAACAAAGAGTGATATTGACATGGAATCAGTTTCATTTACGCATAATTATGTAACTTAGACCTTATTAAATTTTGAGCAAAATCGGTCAAGTCGTTTTCTGTGCCGAATGAAAAATTGTATAAAATATTAAACATAATTTGATATTTTTTTATTCTTTTCATTGAGAAGTTAGTCAGTTAGTCGTGTGGACCTTTCAGGTGCACTTAGACCGCTTTTGTATTTTATTAAAATAAATTACATATTTATAAATAAAGATTTCAATTAATTTTAACCGTTGCGAAATAATTTGAACTACGCCGACTGTTTCACTTTTTTAAAACAGTCCCATCTAACGTAAAATACAAAAAGTAGTTACATTTTGATTTCAGTTACTAATAAATTAAATAATATAAATATAACTTTCGTTCATGTGTTTAAAATATTTAATTCATAACCCAGCGGCGATTTTACAAATAGGTACTGCACGTCTGCTAAGGCTTTAGCACGTAATTTCCGTGATATCGACGCGTCGCGATTTAATTAGTAATTTCTCTAAAATATTGTATGGAAGCTATATATAAACCTTATGTCATTTGAATTGTTATAATATTTGCTATTACTTTGTAAATATTGAAGTTGAATACAGCTTAAGAGATTTGATAAATCTTATTTCAAAGTTGGGCAAACTAATTTTTAATAGTATTCTGTACATAATACGTGAAAATTAAACAATAAAATTATTAATTTATAAAATAAATGTCAATTATTTACATGAATATATTCTATTTTACCATAAAAGCAAAATAACTACACATTCCCGTACATTTTTTTTACACAACAAGCATTTCAATATCTTAACACATGGAGGGTGACCCAAGCGTCTCACAAAAAATAGGGTTTATTTGTTCTTTAATTCTGAGAAAGGAGCGAGTCCAGTGGCATGCGATAATATTTGACAATAATGAATGATTCGAGTTCTTAATGTAGACGAAGTTTCAATTCTATAAATTGTATGGTTTAATATTTATAGATTTTAAACAAAACATATAAAAATAATCGCTGTAAAACGTCCTCTCAAACTTTGTATCTCAGAGTAAATTCCTCAACTTCAACCCCACTCGATTTTTTCTGCCGGAGCAGCGTCGAAGTGTATCCGTCGACCGGACTTCCCTCAACTGTACCACGTTAAGTGGCGTGG